GCTAAGAATGGTCAGCCCTGGTTAGTTTTTGGATTGGGAGACCACCAAAGAAATTCAGAGTTGCTATGCAGAGGCAGGCAATGGCATACCACCTCTGAATGTCTCTTGCCTTGGAATATCTGGAGTCACCATAAATCAGTTGTGATTTGACAGCACTTTATACAAACACACACACGCCATGTTCTGGGGCAGCCTATCTCAGGAAACCCGTTGCCAGGGGCCAGTCCTTTCGGTTCTGGGTCTCTGCATAAAGACTTTTCAGGGGCATCTGGGGAGGCCATAGGATTAGGGATGCCAGGCCACGTCCTGCCACCCCTGTGAGGTTTGAGGACAGAGCACAGGGTGGACATGGTGTCATTTTCATGTACGTGGTGTCATTTTACCTGGATGTGAAGTCAGAGCATCAGCAGACGCTCTGGAAACACATTCGTAGTACTCAGGAGTTCCCAGAGCATCAGCTCTAGAGGTTTTCAAACAGAGGCTAGATGGCCATCTGACAACAATGAGGATTCTGTGAATTTAGGCAGATCATGAGAGGGAGGGCAGGAAGGGTTGCCTAAGTGCTTAGTTCTTCTGGCCCTGTCTTACATCCCCAGGGAAATGCTGATTGCCACTTTGGGGTCAGGAAGCAATTTTTCTCCAGGCCAGTTTGGACAGGGATCCTGGAAGTTCTTTGTCATCTTCTGGGTGTGGAGCAGGGTTCACTGTGCGTGGTGAGGGGGAGGTATTTGTGAATTTCCTGCATTGTGCAGGGGGTTGGACTAGATGACCCTGGATGTCCCTTCCAACTCTATGATTAGATCCAAGCAGAGTAACAAACTATTTTTTGTTTGGTGTAGTGGTTAAGTGCACGGACTCTAATCTGGGAGAACCGGGTTTGATGCCCCACTCCTCCTCATGCACCTGCTGGATTGCCTGGGGAAAGCCATAGTTCTGGCCCAGCTGTTCTTGAAAAAGAGCAGTTTCTGTCAAGAGCTCTCTCAGCCCTACCTGCCTCACAGGGTGTCTGTTGTGGGGAGGGGAAGGGAAAGGAGTTTGTAAGCTGCTCTGAGACACCTTTGGGTAGTGAAGAGCGGGGTATAAATCCAATCTCTTCCTCTACTTATTATTAATAATGAGATTTAACAACAGCTGTAATTCAAAAACATGTAGGAAAAATGAGCACAGTAAAGGTTGGTGAACCAGCAAAATAAGAAACCCTTAACGTGTCTAACTATACTGCACCTAGCCTTCTCTAGGTATTCGGCTTCAAGTTGACTCACCCCTTTTGGATGAGGGATCCCTCCATCTACAGCAGCTTCACAATAGCTCTGCTTCCTAGGAGTGAACCCCCTCCCACTTCGGGTAAAGCCTTTTATCACTTCTTCCCAGGCAACACCCTCTCCTATTCTACTGGTTGTCAGTTTTCCCTCCCAATCCCCTGTTAGCCATCCCTAGTGTCCAAAGGAGACCTGGGAAATGTAGGCCCTGATAGCTACTCTACTACAGGCTTCCCTGGAGCCACTAGGCCTCTCTAGAGCCTGTAGGCCGCACTACAGTTGGCTTAGGACCATGAAAAGCCCATTCCTTGCCAAGGAGGGGGTTTCCGTGAAATCTCAGTCCAAGAATAAAGGTCAATTAAAAAACAAGGAACAAGGTCCTCCATCCTAAGTAATTCAATTCAAATACCTTTTATTGGCATACAATATTAGAAGCATTTACCAATAATACAATCCAAAAGAAATTATAAAATAGATAGTCATGGCTATGTCAGGCCTAACTCAATGTGTCACAATCTAGCTTGTACGGACCATACAAAAGATGCCTAAATCATAAAATAAATTGGCATTCTAAACTTTTAAACTTAAGTTTTTAGACTTATAAATTAAGAATCATTAATATGATCAGGGTCACTCTTCCGTTTTATAAAACCATGGAGAAACGTAGCGGTCAGTTCAGTGATCTCCGGATCTCGTGAAGCAAGGAGAAATTGTACCTTGATTCTATCCGATTGGCCTGTTACCAACCTAAGGGGGGCTTTTATAAATTCCACTCAAATGTCATTTAACAACTCCATCCTAAGTAGAGAATACACTCCAGGGAAAATGAAAATGGAACTGTGGCCTTTGCAAGGACTTTCAATCATAGAATACACATCATTTTGTGGATGCAGATTTCCTTAGGAGAGAAACTGTAACTGTTTGGGTGCGGAAAGAACTTCCTTTGGAAAAGAGCCCTTGGTTCACATCAAAGAAGTCACACAGGTGGAGAGCCACAGAAATGGTCAGAGTCCAAACCAAGCGTCTCTGATGCAGGAGGCTTAATGTACTTTGAAACTGTATTTGGTTGTACACTTCAGTGTACTGCAGGAAGAAGCCACTGAAATATTTGAAGTGTGTGGCTGGAACTTCAGGTTCCTCCTTGCATGGATTCTAACAGGATCTTTGGTGTAGTAGTTAAGTGTGCGGGCTCTAATTTGGGAGAACCGGGTTTGATTCCCTACTCCTCCACTTGCAGCTGCTGGATAACCTTGGGCAAGCTGTAGTTCAGTCAGACCTGTTCTCTCAAGGACAATTCTAGAAACAGCTCTCTCACCCCACCTACCTCACAGGTTGTCTGTTGTGGGGAGGGGAAGGGAAAGGAGTTTGTAAGCTGCCCTGAGACTCCGGGTGAAGGGCGGGGTATAAATCCAATCTCTTGTTCTTCTCTTCTTCTTTGCTGGGAGGAAACTGTCTGATTGGTCCGAAAACACCATTGGGGACATTTTCCTTCTTCATTGTCCAAGACTACACTCAGAATGAAGATGTAAGAACATATGTCAGGATTCAAGGCAGACCTAAGAAGCAGAAAATCAGTCGCAGGGTGAAGAAGAGGGATAACTCCATTCCTTGCCTAGGGAAGGATTTCCAAGAAGTAGTTCACATGTTGGAGGAGTGTGGAATGAACTTCTCCGATCAAATCCATTATAATGTCAATTTTGGAATGCACAGTGGAAAGAAGCCCTATCAATGCCTGGAGTGTGGAAAGGCCATGATTGGCAGAACAGAGTTCCTTAGACATCTGAGAACACATATAGAAGAGAAACCTTATAGTTGTTCTGACTGTGGGAAGAGCTTTTCAAACAAATCAGACCATCTTCAACACCAAAGAATTCATTCAGGAAAGAAGTCCTTTATCTGTTCAGAGAGTGGAATGATGTTCTTGGATCGAAGAAAGGGTAATATATATTTTTCAAAGCACAATATAATGAAGGCATGTAAATGCTTTCGGTGTGGAAAGTACTTCAGATACAGATCACAGCTTTTTGTGCACCAAAGGATCCACTCAGGGGAGAAACCTTTTGAATGCTCAGAGTGTGGAAAGAAATTCAGTCATAGTTTCCTTCATAAACAGCATCAAAGAACCCACACAGGAGGGAAACTTTTTGAATACTCAGAGTGTGGGAAGACATTCAGCAAAAGTGGCCATCTTCAAAGTCATCTAAGAACTCACACAGGGGAAAAGACTTTTGAATGCTCAGAGTGTGGGAAGAGATTCAGTAATAGTACCACTATTCAACAGCATCAAAGAACACACACAAGGGAGAAGCCTTTTGAATGGCCAGAGTGTGGGAAGACATTCCATGACAGTAGCACTCTTCAACAGCATCAAAGAACACAAACAGGGGAGAAGGCTTTTGAATGGTCAGAGTGTGGGAAGAGATTCAGTAATAGTACCACTATTCAACAGCATCAAAGAACCCAAACAGAGGAGAAGCCTTTTGAATGCTCAGAGTGTGGGAAGAGATTCAGCCATAGTGGCAATCTTTTACGGCATCAAAGAACCCATACAGGGGAGAAACCTTTTGAATGCTCAGAGTGTGGGAAGAGATTCAGCCATAGTGGCAATCTTTTACGGCATCAAAGAACCCATACAGGGGAGAAACCTTTTGAATGCTCAGAGTGTGGGAAGAGATTCAGCCATAGTGGCAATCTTTTACGGCATCAAAGAACCCATACAGGGGAGAAACCTTTTGAATGCTCAGAGTGTGGGAAGAGATTCAGCCATAGTGGCAATCTTTTACGGCATCAAAGAACCCATACAGGGGAGAAACCTTTTGAATGCTCAGAGTGTGGGAAGAGATTCAGCCATAGTGGCAATCTTTTACGGCATCAAAGAACCCATACAGGGGAGAAACCTTTTGAATGCTCAGAGTGTGGGAAGAGATTCGGTCACAGTGGCACTCTTCAACAGCATCAAAGAACCCACACAGGAGAGAAGCCTTTTCAGTGCTTAGAGTGTGGGAAGAGATTTGGTCACAGTGGCACTCTACAAAAACATCTCAGAACCCACTCAGCAGAGAAGCCTTTTGAATGCTCAGAATGTGGGAAGAGATTTGGTCACAGTGGCCATCTTCTATGTCATTTAAGAACCCATACGGGGGAGAAGCCTTTCGAATGCTCATTGTGTGGGAAGAGATTCTGTCAGAGTAGCAGTCTTCAACGGCATCGAAGAACCCACACAGAGGAGAAGCCTTTTGAATGCTCAGATTGGGAAGAGATTGTATTACAGTAGCACTCTTCAACAATATCAAAGAATCCACACCACGGTGCAGCCTTTTGGATACTCAGAGCATGGGAAGAGATTCAGTCAGAGTGGCCATCTTCAACAGTATCAAGGAATCCACAGCAGGCAGAAAGCTTTCGAATAGAAAGAGATTCAGTCTGCATGGTTATTTTCAACAGCATCGAAGAACCCACACAAGGAAAACTCATGTAACTTCTTAGCCCACGGAGGGATTTCAAACAACTATTACAGGAGATGACATAAATGTCACTTTGTCTGGCTGGGCCATGTGTGCCATACAATGTAATGCCAGGTTCCAGAGATATAAACTTTAGAAGGGACATAGGGAAACCCAATTAACAATATTATTTTTCCTCAGTATACATACATGCTTAATAATTAACAGACTTACATTATTTTCTTTATTTTACAGTCTTTGATAACTGACTTCCTTGTCTCTGAATTATTGTATGAATATCTGGAGTCAATGTTTGTGCTGTAGCAATCTTGATTGTGCTGGTTAGGTGTCTTATCTGTAAGCTGAGAACGTACTTTTGATATATGGAGATTTATTCCAGAATAGAGCTGATCTCGAACGGTGACCAGAAAAAAGCTCACATGAAAAAAGCCCTCAGAAAAAATCCCATGGTCAAAAATGCTCACAGGAAAAAAACTGACATGGAAAACTGCCCACATGGACAACTGCCCACATGGAAATAAGCCCACACAGAAAAAAGCCCATACACAGAAAGCCCACATGGAAAGAAGCCCACATGGAAAAATACCATGTAAAGTGCCATAGATATTGAATCGGTATTACCTGTTTTATTTTGTTATTTTAGGATTAAAACATGTCATATTAACATGCAACAATTTGTGTTGTTTTTATCAAGTATAATCCTATATATACAGTTGTCTTACGGTTTGCCATTTCCTGGTCTCCCATTGGTTGTGCTATGCACTCCATCAGTCATTGGCCCATCAACCGCCACTCAAGAGTACTCGAGTGCCATTGGCTGGATGCTGGGTCCACTACTCTCCCCCACCCACTGCTAGCCTAGACACTCTTCCCTTACAGAATTCTGCTGCTTGGCTCCTGTGGGACTAACTTTTCCCTTGATGGCTGTTGCTAGGCAACCAAGTTTGGTTCTGTCAGTAAAAAGACAAAGGAAGGAAACAGGCCTTTGTGAGGAACTCATTGGGGCCAGTCCTGACAAGAGTTGCCAGCTCCAGGTTGGGAAATTCTGGATATTCTGTGTCTAAGGAAGCCAGGGTTTGAGGAGGGGGGAGGCCTCAGCTAAATAGAATGCCATAAAGCCCACCCTCCAAAGCAGTTATTTTCTCCAGGGGTGGGAAGAGATCTGTTGTCTGAAGTTCAGTTGTGATACCCAGTGATCTTCAGGCTCCACCTGGAGGTTGGCTACAAGCGTAGCAGTTAGTGCTTCAGAGCAGGGTCTGCTAGACCCAGGTTCCTGTTGTGGAAGTTGAGTGGGTGATTTTGGACCAGTCACAGACTTTCAGCCAAACCTACCTCACAGGGTTGTTGCGCAGATCAAAAGGGGGAGAGGAGAATGATGTAAGCTGCTTTGGTCTCCACTGTGGAGAAAGACTATACTTTTCCTCCTGGGGAATCATTGCTACCAATCTCCAGGTGAGTTATCAAACACTGATAAAAATGACAATGACACTTAATAAATCTTATGAACTTGAATTTATATTACAAATGACACTTTTAAAATATTACTACGGAAATTCTAACATTCTCAAGGAAAAGTCCATCATCCTCAATGAGCACCCAGTTATAAACTCATTTCACCAATCTTCCTCAGGAGTAATCCTATTATATTTTCTATTAAATTATCTTCTGGTTCCATTTTCAAATTATTACAGCTTAACTTCTTTTGTGTCTTCTTCAAATTATTGTAGAACAACAGTGGTTATTTAGAATGGAAAGAAACATGAAGCTGAATGGAATATTGTTATAATTAAAATTTTGAAATAATTTATAATTTATAACTTCTAACTGGTTGCTACTACTAGAAATAAATAAACTGGCTTGCTCCTAATTCAAACACTTGAAATGGAACTAGAAGTGGAGGGGTGGGACTTCAGACAGGTGGTATTTGTATTAGGAACAAGCCAGTTAATTTCTAATAGTAGCAATCAGTCCTCTTTTCTATCCAGCTAGAAGCCTTCTTTTTTTAAATTGGCTGGCAATTACTCTCTATCTCAAGTTGCTGGCTTCATTG